AGAACCACGTATTTTTATATTGGTGAAAACTAAATATGATTATGGTTTTATAGGAATATTACTTTCCTAACACTCTATACACATAATGACATTTCTAAACTGAACTGTTCGTTTGGCGCACAATTTCCCACATCAGATTGATGCTAAATAAAAGCAGAAACTATTGTAGCGGCGTTGCATTCCAAGCGGGCATGTTGTTGGTGCCAGGCTATACATGGCTCTGGCTCCGGCTCCGGGAGTAGAACACGAAACCTCACCATTTTACTTGCATCGTATGCCACAAATTTCTGACGTAATGACATGTTTATGATGTCATATTTCACATAATGTAGACGTCATCATGCTAGATATGACGTCATAAATTGTGATCTCAAGAATGTATGACGACAACAAATAAAACTATAGGTTGTCACAATTGTAGAATGTGATATCATAATCAACGGAATTTGTAAAATATGTAGTTGTTGTATACATCCTACGAGAAAATGTGAAACCTCGTGGAGCGTGGTATCACTTTGGTAATTTTGTCACGGTGTCGATTTCATTATTTTTTTGTAATGACGTCATTTCAGAGGATATGACGTCAAAACTTATTTCAATACATAAGTAAGATATCCCTTATGAATAAGTTATATCTAAAATAATAAAATAACATGTTGATTTTGGGTACACCTGCATTGGTTCAACGTAGATGTTCAATCAACTTAAAATCGGCGTTAATATTTGAAAGTCACACATCAACTGGACAGCTTGTATGACAAACTGAACTCTTGTAATCTATTACACGTAACCACCTACATCCAGTATGTATATATGAACAGTTTTATACCATTGTTATACACGACTATGAAGTAATTTATAAAGACTGTGTAGGTTGTCATTTTCTAAGAATGTGTGATTGATATTTCTCCATGGGACATGACATTTGAAGGACAGTATGATGATTTAATGTTATTATTTATTTTTACTTACAAATAAAATACAAAAAGCTTATACGTGAATTATGTAAACGATAGCTACTTCATTCAAGATCACAACAGATATAATGTTGTGATAAGCATAGCTTATCAAAATCAGCAATTCATGACAAAGAACGTGTAGCAAATAAATCACAACATGCTAGGGTACCCTGACAGTATAAGTAGGTCACGTGGACCAATATAAAATCTTTGGTCATATACCATACGATATATCGGTAAATCGCAATTTGTTATAGTACCATAATAGAATAAGTACGGTCAGGGGAAGTAACCATCAGGGGGAGTAACCATTAGGGGGAGTAACCATCAAGGGGAACAACTCGGGTGAAGTAAAGTATTACCAATATCTTTGGTCAATTACACTGATATACACCAATGTGACTGAAGAGGAAGTAATTTAATAAGAGGAGAAAACACTATTGGGAAAAGTACATTTTCCGACGTGTGACTTATAACTTTCGGGAACTTTCGTCACTTTCCATGAGCGAGAAATACAACGTCTTTTACACGGAAGCAGCCGAAAGGACCCGACTTGGCGTAAAACATGTCCCGTCTCCTATCTACATTAAAACTGCAAGATATGGATGATCATTCGATAACTTTGTGAAATCGATTATCGATCAAGTACACGAATGTATTTGAATTTAAGGTACAATGATAAGATAACTATTAATGATGAAGTTTTTTTTCCGGAAAAGACAGTTTATGTAATATTGGTGACTTAAATAAGATTTTTTATTCGTTTAAATATTTATGTTTACATTGATTTGCTGGATTACAATGTATAACATAATAGTCTTAGCAGTGTTTACAACTTTTCCTTCTTTTATCTACCAACACAAGTCAGCATTGCTTAAAAAACAGACAGGTTCTAACGCAATTTATGATTTGTTAATTACCAGAACGAAAACTCTCGATGGCAAAGAGAAAAGAAATTGATGGGCGAGAACATCCTGATTTTAATACTGTAAAATGGTTAAACGTATCATCAACGCCATTTAGAAATCCGATTAAACCTATATTGTCTTTCACCCTATTTTCTGCAATCTTTGTTACTCATTGCAATTATTTTGAAGATTTTTAAATCAAATTTTATAGTCAAGATATGTTGTCAGACTTTATTCATACATTTTCTGTTACCATGGAAACAGATAACCCTCATCACAAATTTCAGTCTTTCTGGCCCAATGCTCTGAAACCGTTCAAAATAATTGCTAAAACTGTTTACACTTATTAAGTTAGTAATATTTTTTGTAGTGGGGAAGTTCTCCATTCAAATACTTTTTTTCTGTTACCATGGAAACAGGCAGACCAAATCACAAAATTCACTTTTTTTAAGACCAGTTCTCTTAAACCGTTCAAGATATTACCCGATACACTAAACATCGTACAGCCATAAGCTAGTACTCCTGTAGAAGTTCTCCATTTCAATATCTTGTATGGAACATTTAAAGATACTAGAAATAGAAAATTAAACTTGATGTAATATTAATATATATATATGTGTGTGTGTGTCATTTAAACAGCGGGACGCGGGGAGTATGTCACGCTTTGCGTGATCTTGTTGTCTTTTGTTTTGTTCTTCTTTGTCAGTCTTCATGTTGTATGTTTGTATATACTGTACATGACTTACTTACACATAAACTTTATTATTTCTACTTATAAAAATCACACCTGTTGTATGCATGCGAGAGGTCTAACTGTGGGAGGAAACTCGTATCCCTTCAGGGAATCCAACCCGGTCGGCTAGGTGAAAGACAAGTGTGTTACAATGATTGTCTCCCCTGTTCTGCTTGCTGTGTAAAAAGTGCGCTCTCCTATGTAATTCGACTGACGGGTAGGGTTTGACGAAGTCATTGATGGTTTTTAGCTATGGTAGAGTACGTTTTAGACTGACAGGTTGGGTTTGACGAAGTCATTAAGTTTTCAGATGTACCGTAGAGTGTATACATCCTTTTTTTTACAAAGGAATATGACTTGTATCGCGTGTATGGTGTGTTTTGTCGTGTATTGTTGGTATTTTGCATGAAAGAACATAATTTTTACTGGTTTTTATTACGAAATATTACTATTTTACTGACAAAAAACATTAAGTTATTGCACTTCTATAAATAATCACATTTTTTATTTGCAAAATTTACATATTTCACTTACACAATTACATTTTTTTTTCAAAATATGCAATGATGACAAAAAAAATCAAACTTTTCCTTTGTTTGCTGCTGTTTAACTGTTGTGTGCTGATGTTTTGCTGTTGTTTGCTTAATACAGGTAAGGTCTCTGGCCCCTAATGAATTCTACTCATACTACAGTTTGTACAGAGTAGACCTCTGAGAAAAACACGTGGCTGGAAATATCTCTCTTTTCCAAACCCTTTTTCCAAATTTCTTCTCACAGAAATCATCAACATTCTCATCTTCTAACTGATGAAGTAGACCAAAACACCAGGAGCAATTTTACATGTGACTGGTGTATTCAGTGAATGCAACTCTCCCCAGAATTTCACTCTTAAGAAATAACAACATTCTTAACATGTTATATCCGAGATGACCTCCTGTCGGCCATATATTTTATTTTTTTTATCAGTTTCTAAATCAAAAGGATGCACCTACTTAGTCAGGGTAACCCGAGTATGATATTTGCGAAACCTTCCAATATTTCCCGAGAAATAACATTACCAGTCTTTCACAGTCAAAATTCAATATGTCCGCCTGAATGGCATCTAACTTTGTTGATCACTTTAAAAATCAAAAGGGCAAATATGGGGACCATGGGAAACCTATACATGAAATTTGAGAAATGTCCATCCACTGCTTCCAAAGAAATTGCAATAAAAAATTTAAATTCATTGTCTGGCTCTACTGTACCGAATGTTACTTGTGTGTCTATTGTGCTATCTTTTAAAATCCAAGATGGCCGCCTGTCAGCCATCTTTTTTATCAGTTTTAACATCAAAAGGAAAGAACTAGGGACCAAGGGGAAACTATATAATGAAATTCGAGAAAGATCCATTCAGATCTTGGCATGAAATAGTGATAACAAACTTTCGTTTGACACAACACAACTACTAGTGGCGTACGCGTGGAACATATGCATTAAATTTCAGAAATATATGTACGTTTCTAGCGCTTCTCATGATATTGAGCAAAAGCTGTTAACTGTCAACACCAGGGAAAACGAGAAATCTTTATACGAATTTCAGAAAGATCCATCTAGTACTTGTCAAAAATATCAATAATATTTGCATAGTCAAAATCCATGTCACATTTTGTCAGAGAATTGACACTAGGGCTTCCAGTTACAATGCCACTTCTGTAGTACAACGTCAAGATTGATAAAAGAAATCTTCATGCAATTTGAGAAAAATCCAAGAATAGCGAGTAGAAGTTTCCGAGTAAATCCAAGATGGACTTCTATAAGTCATTTTACGTTTTAGACAAGTCAAAATTAAAAGGGCGCTATGAGCGACTGCGAGGAACTAGTATACGAAATTTGAGAAGGATTTAGCAAGTATTGTGTTAAGGAATAGCGATAATGATATTCCGGTGTCAAAATCCACACATATTTAATAAGTATCAAATATAGTGGAATTGGACACAAAATTTTCTGCTTATATAAAGCCCTTTACCCCATAGAGTTGGACAGAATACATACTGACAAGTCAAGGAGACAAACAGATAGTCAGACAGACAGACAGATTTTTTTTTTTACAATTCATGTAATCTCATTTCAATCGGTCTCTCCTAAAACGGACAGCACTATATCACTCCCGAAATTGAAAGGGCATAAATAAGAAAAGTAATATGAAATCTTCGGAAAAGTCATTACTTCGCATAGAAATAACGGTAAGAAGGCTTCCTAATCAATCTCAAATTCAAAAGGGCGCTACTTAAATCACAATGGAATCTACATAATTATGGAACATGAGAAGCAACAATGTCAAAGATTGTTTACAAACGGACGGACGGACAACGAACTAAGGACGAAAAGCTGTTTAAATACATGTAGTGACTGTCACTGAATAGATCTTTATCAACTTTAAAATATTCTGGTTATCACTGAATAGATCTTTATCAGATTTCAGGTAAGTTTCCAAAATATGTTTGAATATATGTCATGGTGGCCTATCAGTACTATCCCGTACGAGAATGTCATTAGGGCCGATCCAAACGCAACGCACAGAGTTATGGGCATTGGCAGTTTTATTACCTTGGATCTTGTGAACACGATTATGAACAGATTTTGATGAATCGTAGTATTTAACTTTAAATCAAGCTCTCGGGTGAGTTAGACAGTGGGACCGATTAAAACCCAATGTACAGAGCTATAAATGACCGTTTGCATTTTATGAGTATGGACCTTGTACATGTTAACTTCAGTTCACAAGAAAAAAAATATGAATCTTGGTATGCAGCCTTATGAACATCAAACTCTCGGACGAGTTACGGCCCTTTAGTTGATATTAGTCTCTGCCCAATTCTGCTGGGGCCAGGCGAGTGCATCATGCATCGTTAGGGTGTGCTTCTGTGTTATTGATCGTTTTCCCATGTTTGCGTTACAAAGAGAAAGTATGATAAAAAGAATGAGATTGATACTAAAGAAATAAATTAGAGTGAATAACGGAGAAAATTTCCAACAAAATCTTTTCATCAGCAAAAGTTCTTATATCACTTTATACACGAAAACGATGCCTTCATATTCTCTGTGATATTCCGGAACAATTTCTTTACGGATCTTTTTCCACTTCCCCTCGTTTTCAATCTGATCAATTAAGGGTTCGAAACGTCCATTGTATTCGCTCACAGTCAGGTGAAATGGACGTGTCACCAGCACAAAATAACCTCCTACAACATATAGATACATTGACTGTGTTTAAGAGAAATGGGTGTGTCACTAACACAAAGCAACCTCCTACAACATATAGATAAATTGACTGTCTTAAAGCGAAATGGGCGTGTCACTATCACAAAGCAACCTCCTACAACAAAACAATCCATATCATAACAGCTTGGAGAGTATTTGTGTAATATATAACATAATCAGGCAATTTATCGCAGGGAAATTCCTGATTGGCATTTTTCTAATTTTCGCATTGAAATAGTTAAACTACGAATAATCTCTACATATTTGTCTGTTATTTGTAACATGTAAATATTGCTATGAGAAGTGTGATAATTACGATTTCTCCAGTCTGGAAGAAATGGTGAGTTGGTATAATCTAATATATAAATGTAACCTCATAATTCTCGTTGATTTCAATAATAGAACGTTTAACTTTAAGGTTGCCTGATTCTGGTCCTAACAAACATTCTAATTCGAATCCAGTTATCAATAAGTCTGGTAGACAACTCATGTAAAACCACTGGTTTACTAAAAGATAATGGAAGGGAAAAGATGGTCTTACTATTAATGTTACTATTGTAGGTTATGTTTTGATAATAATCTTTCAGTAAAACTGATATATGAGATCATAGGTTGACCCGGCAGGTACTACTGGCAGTTTAAGATTGTACAAAAGACACACAAATGAATAACCCATTTTATGCAAACCTCGGGTATACCAGCAGTAAGTATGAAGTTCGACATTGTACATTCAGTCAGGATATTTTGATATATTACCTGGTTTTACCAGCCGCACGACCTCCCACAGACAGTTACAGGGCAGATGCATGTTGGTGCAGCCTCCACATACAACGAGCACATCGTAGGTATCTAGGGAAAATAAAAGATTATAGAATTTCAATAATCAAAGATTTTCATGGGTTTATATCAGAACACACCAAATATCTGTATGACGCTAACAGTTACTACAATAAATAGAGACGTGTTGAGATTTGTAAAGTACATTATATGCATACAGATCAATAGGTTTTTACTTCATGAGACAAGGCAATAATTTAATTCTCTATGAAACGAGCGATTCCATTGGCTTATGTAGCCAGATGGCTTATAGGGAAACGGTGTTCCATCAAATTATAAACAAATATAGCAGAAACAAAATCAATTATTGGTTTCATTAAAAGTTATAAATGTACCGTTGATCTAACATTTATTATCAGACCTAATGTGTATCTTTAGTTAATAAGATTTACGCTGATGTGGCAAGACATTGAACACTATAAGTAGGTGAAGTAGGATTACTTTACAAACTGACCAGGAAGTTTTGCTCATATCATTAAGACATTGAACACTATAAGTAGGTGAAGTAGGATTACTTTACAAACTGACCAGGAAGTTTTGCTCATATTAAATTACGTAGTATACAACTGTATGTGTATCTGTTTCTATATACGTATTATCTATGTACATATTCCTTTAAAAAGTTTTTTTTTTTTTTTTTTTTTTAAATTTTAATCCCTCAGCTCAGCAATCATTATTAGGGGCTGCCAGAGTTGAGGAGCTCTGGGTTCAACCTCCTTTACAAAATATTGCCATCACACAGGAAGGCTCTCATTCTACATTCATCACTTTCATTCCTTATAACATAATTATTTTTAGCAAGATTTATTTATATGATTGTTAAAATTCAATTTCTGACATACAAAAACTTAAATACCCATTCTCATGATGTATCTATATACACCCTCACGCACACACCATCACACACCCATACATACATATAGTATATATATGTACATACTTGTGCATACACAGAACACAAAATAACATATTGATGAACAGTGCACACAATTTGTACATATCTCTAACACTACAACAATTTTGTTCCTTTATAATAATTGCCTGTGCATCAAACACTTAAACATCAGGAAAAAAGAATAATTGAGGTCATTCGGACTGGCCCCCATAGGCATTCAGCAATTAAGTGACACATATTTTTCAAATAAAAATAACTCGAAAGGGACTTCAATATTCAATATCTGGAAATCTTATTGCATTCATAAATTTAATTAGTACTTTCATTATTCAGTATTTGTTCAAACATTCCCCATTTGTTTTGAAAATCTACTATATTCCTATTTCTGACTGCAATATACTTTTCCAATCTTATTGTTCTCTTTAAAATAGTCTTACAAATGCAAAATTTAGGAATACTCTCATTCATACGGCAACAATATATGTAATATTTTATTAAAAGAAAACAGTGGTTAACTAGTGAGTCAAAAGCTGGGTTACCAAATAATATATCACTGTCATTAAAGTAAATGGAATCATATTTATGGTCATGTTCCGCATACCAAAAGTTGAACTCTTCTATTAGTTTTACTGTATAATAACATTGTGTGAAGATATGTTCAATTGTTTCCTCCTCCCTTTTACAAAAAGTACATAAGCTATCTTCAACTAAATTCATTTTTTCTAAAATATAATTGGTAGGTAATATTCTGTGAGAAATTTTGTATTGAAAAGTCTGAAGTTTAGTTTCAACTGTACAATTAAATGGATTCTTGTAAGCACCCTCCCAGTTGTATCTTCCGACATGCTCATCAATTGGCAGGTTTATTTTTGTCGACCATTTCTCCTGATTTGATAGTGGTTTGACCATAATTTTTTAAATAAATTCTCTATAAATAAATTTCAACTGTTTTTTTGTTAAGATGATTGACACTATGTCTTCCTGTTTCTCAGATGTTATATTATTTCCCTCAATTACTTTTTGCCTGTATTCCGTTCTCCATTTTCTATCAACTTTGTTAACTATTGAAAAATATTTGATGTAATCAAGACAAGAAACTTTTATAAAATCATTATAACTCTTGACTACACCGTTTTGGAATAAATCACCAATCACATTAAGTCCATATTGTTTCCATTGAAAACCGTGTTTCATCTGACAAAAGGACACCAAGTTAATGATACTTTTACCAAGATATTCTTCTAATGTTGTTGGGTCTCTTTGTAATTCTGACAGAGCTTTACATACATCCTTCCAAAAACGGTTTTTGGTGTGATTTGCTATTTCTTTGAACTTTACTTTGTCTAGTTCGAAAAATAGTTCTACACTAATAGGTATTATGTCCTTTAACAGTACTCTCCAAGGAACAAATTGATCCCCATAAATTTTCTTTATCCATTTAACCTTGAGGTATTTCATGAAAGATATTATGTGTGTCATATTAAGGCCCCCTTCCCCAATACTAGCAATGAGTGTGTCTCTTTTACACTTAATGTGATGGGTTTGGGAGACTTATAAGTAAGTGAACAAACATTGGTATTACAAGTGTGTTTAGTATTGAAATTCGTCCAACCAGGGTGAGGTCTCTGTGGGTCCAATATCTTAAAAATTATTGACTTGTTGTAATTTTGGTTCGAAATTCAGTCTTTCCATTTCTTGCAGATCTAGTGAAAATACAATACCAAGTAATCTAAAATTAGCTGGAGACCATTTAAGATTCAAATTTTCACATATTCTTCCCTGTGAGTACTTTTTATTTCCTAACCAATACAGACTGGATTTATCTAAATTTATTTTTAGTCCAGATACAACTGCAAAATTCTCTAAGGTACGTACTGCTGAGTAAAGAGTGTGACTTGTGCCATCAAGTAACAAAAAAAGCGTCGTTTGCATATTGTCCAAGTAAAAACTCATTTTCAGACATAACTATTCCTTTGATGCCATTATTCGATTTCAATGATAGAGACAAAAGTTCTAAACCTATTATAAACAGATATGGAGAAAGTGGATCCCCTTGACGACATCCACGTTCTAAATTAAAAAAGGGAGATAAATGACCATTGTTAATAACACTACTTTTTGAGTTCTTATAAAAAAGTTTAATCCAAGATCGTATTGACTCACCAAAATTGAAGGACCCCAATGCTTTATCTATAAAACACCATTCTATTGAATCAAACGCCTTTTCAAAATCTAATAAATACAATAATCCAGATTGGTTTTTTCTTCTAACATAAACATTAAATCATACAATAGTCTTGTGTTATCAGCTATACATCTACCTTTTATAAAACCTGTCTGGGTTACACTTATTATACAAGGGAGAGTTTCTTTAATCCTGTTTGCTATTGCAGCTGAGGCTATTTTGTAGTCTACATTCAAAAGTGAAATTGGTCTCCAATTTTTCAAATAACGTCTATATTTATTTTCTTTTGGAATACATGTAATTATACCCTGATTTTGAAATTCTGAAAGTCTCCCTGTTCCGTATGAATAATTGATTGATCTAACCAAAAATGTTCCCAAATCTTTCCAGAAAAACTTATAGAATTCAGCCCCAAATCCATCTGACCCTGGTCTTTTGCCATTTTTCATATTTTTTAATGCTTAAGCTAATTCCTCGATTCGTAGAATACCCTCACACTTCTCTTTTTCTGTATCCTGAAGTTTTACCTGATGTTGGAAAAAATGAGAATCTGTAATAGGGTCCGGGTCTGGGAGTCTGCTAGTGTATAATTTTTTGAAATCAGCTTCCTCTCCCAGTATTTCTTCCTGGTTATCTAATACATTCCCATGTTCTGTAATAAGTTCTGATATAGATTTATTCACATAATTTCTCTTTTCCAAATTGCAAAAATATTTTGTGACTTTCTCCCCATTTTCATACCAGTTTGACTTTGATCTTAACATTAATCCTTCTACTCTGTTTTTACGTATGTTGTCTAGCTGTTGTTTCTTACTCTCAAACTGTTCATATATATTATCATTAACATTAACATTCATTTTTGTTTCTAATGTTGTAATTTCTATCTCTAAATCTTTCTCCTGTTTCCTTTTCTGTTTTGCTTGTGCTATTGAATAAGTGATTGTTATGGATCTTATTTTCATTTTCAAAACTTCAAAAAACAATTGGTCGTTGATACTTAATACTATATTTTCTAATGATTCCTTGTCTCCCTCTACATAGTATTCGTCTATTGTCTCAGTAATGCAGTTTTTGACTTCTTGTATATAGGTTATGTCCCCCAAAAGTGATGTGTTGTGTTTCCAGTATCCCCTCCCCCTTTCAGTGTTCTTAAAACTTATTTCTAATACGATGGCTGAGTGATCTGTTTTATAACCTGGTATAATCTTTGCATCTTTAGTATAAGAAAGTATGTCATCTAAAATTAAGAAATAATCTAATCTACTCTGCTGTATGGGGTTTTTTCGTCTCCAAGTGAAATTTTTCAATTCAGGATAAAACTGTCTCCATGGATCAACAAGTTCATATGTATCTATCATATCCTTTATCCTCTCCTGAGCTTTAGGATTGTTATTATGTCTAATGTTGTGTGTGTCCATGTCTTTATCCAGTACGACATTCCAATCACCACATAATATTACAGAAGAATTGTTGAATACATTTAAATTATTAAGAAAATTTGTAAAGAAGTTTGGGCAATCCTGATTTGGACCATATATACTAGCTAGTGTAAGTCGATTGTTATTAATAGTTACATCCAAAATGATAAATCTCCCTGAATTGTCTGTTCTACTACCATGTATTGTACATTCAAATGTATTTCTAAGAAAGATTGCCACACCTGCTGATCTTGAATTGAAATTACTAAACACACATTTATAGCCCCATTCCCTTTCCCAAATTTTCTCCACATTTTCCTCACAGTGTGTCTCCTGAAAACAAATAATATCTGCACGTTTTTACTTGACCCAATGAAACACATCTCTACGTTTAGATTTGTCTAAGTATAGTCCCCTAACATTCATAGATAATAGATTTATACTACCCATATTTACATGCTAGATACATATAAAGGCCATCCAAATGTCCCCCAACTACTCCACCCAATGTTTTCCAGTGGTCAATTGAAGAGATACACATGCACACACACACATCCCTGTTATCTTATCTTACATATGGAACAAGAAACAAGTAAATACACACAACATAATCTTTCAACATCACACTTAAACTGTTGATATGAGCCATGAATGATGACTAAGAAATTTCTGAACAACCACTCATTTTTTTCTTTATACCAGTTGTACACCGTACATTGGATTCCTTTCTGACACTGTACATAATATTGTCCAATATAATTATCTGGACATTAAATCATTACCAGGTATTTTTTTAAGGGAAAAGCACTGAAGGTAGCGAGAAACACCCCACATAACAACCAATGCAATTCCCCACACTTTATGTATATACCATATTACCTAATAATAAAAAATTGAAAAAAAAATGTTTTGAGAAATGAAAATTATTATTCGAGTCTGATTGTAATATTTTAGAGAAGAAAGGAATCTCTTGTACAGTGGCTGCAGACCAGCTTGTTTATCTGAATATCATCAAAAAATATAGTCTTACCTTATTGTTTTGTGATCATAGTTTTCCAAGCATTTCAAATCCATTTTCGTTACTTACACATTTTCTTACTGTGATTTCATATTCACTGTAGTTCTGGCACTATTATATTTTAAACACCTCTTCCACATTCTCTAATAAGTCAATCTGTTTTCGAACCGTTCCCCGCTGTCCATACACTCAACCATTGTAGTACCATGCCTGTCAACCAAATGTTTCTCCTTTAGTTTGTTAATAAGCATTACGTTGTCTTTTGTGACATCATCAACCAGCCTGATCTTGCCTGGTACAATCTTTTTCTGTTTCCTCAGGTTTCCAAATTTCCGCATGACATAGTTCCTGACATCTTTCTGCCAAAATTTCACAACTACTGGCCTTGGTTTTGTACTGTCTCTTCCCGGAATTCTATGTATGGCTGCTAAGTCCTCTGGTGTAATATCAGCATGCACAACTTTTTAAACTTCCTCACAGAAATCTTTGGCAAGTTCTCTCTCTGCATTTTCTCCTGATAATTCATCAAAATCCATGACTTTGATGTTATTCCGTCTACTGTATTGTTCATTATTTATAATTCCCCTCAAAGCACTGACCGAAATGTCTCTTAACTCTTTTAGCTCTCTCCTTGTGGTTTGTAACTCCTTGTCACACTCTGCCTGATGTTTCCTAAGACTATTTATTTCAGTCTGTTTTCCCTGTAGGGACTCCTGTAGTCTGTGGTTATGGAGGTTTAATTTGTCTATCTCTTCTCTCATCTTTTGTGTCCTTTCCCCTAATTTCTTATCCATCTCTTTAACTAGCTCTTCCTTCACACCTGTCATGATTTCCAGTACCAGCTCTCTAAGATCTGATGTTTTGACCATAGCTGCTGAAATTTGGTCCCCCTTCCTAGCCACATCTTTTAGCTGTTCCTTTATGATAGCTATGTCCTCTCTGATATCATCCTCCTTAACTGTGCTTGTATGTCTGGTTACTACCCCCTGATTTGTTCTTACTACTGCCACCAGTTCCAGCCATTGTGTAGTAAGTATGTGGCTATTCAATGTCCAGTGTGTCCAGGTAAAGTCACTGGTAAGCTGTTGAGTACTATTCACCTCTGAAGCTCACAGTATAGAAAAAGGAATTCAAAACTTCTTTTTCAACACAGTCTCAAATTGAAATTCAATTTTCAGAAACTAATTACACAAACTGATAGCCCACAGCATTATTGTACTGCCTGCCAAAAATCACAGTCAAATACAACCTAAAAAGGCATATATAGACAGAAAAAACACAGAGCAGTTGTGTCCGCCACTTCTCTACTCAGTGACCATAGCTCAGGCCTCCTTCATAAAGTTAGTATGTATTGATTTACGGATTGTGTTGGTCGGCAATTTAGCTAACATCAGCGTAAATTCATGATTCAAGATACATGGGTTAAGTGGGGTTTGATCAACGGTCTTTTTTGGCAGTTGGGTTAAATAGATGACAGATATTAAGGTTTGTTAGAGAGAAGGCCGGGGAGCGCTGGAGAAAGGAACACCATCTTTCACAAACTATGACTCTGCTTGTACCCAAATAAACTACATGAAAGAAGAAACAACGCCTTTGTGCTTATACTCAATCGGGCCATACTACTAAAAAATCGACGTAAATGTTTAGGGTCTCGTTTGATTGGCCAATGCGGTGGTGTATGAAGTTATCAAAGAAAACAGTCCATTATAATGTCAAAAGTATTGCAATCTGTTGTGAAATGATAACATTCAACTTAAATCATTTTCTGGACAATTAAGTGTACGTTTGTTTTAAGTCGCTTCGCAGTTAATTTAGGGAACACCTCGTTTATTTATGTTACGACTAAATAACATGCAAATGATACCCCCCACCCCACTAAACCCGGACTCAATGAACCTACTGTAACATTATGTGGCAATAATTGTGATTGTTATGTCTTATGATGATCTTAGAGTGCGATTGATCTCCCTTGATTAACGTCATTCCTTCTTGCTTCTGTACCACGCTGCGAACCCGCCATGTTTGTGTAATGCCAACATGCTCGAAAGAATACACACATCTACAAGTTACTGACTGTGTCATTCCATCTTTGCAACACTCAAACGTTACACCTACCAAAGTTTACTCAAGTCATTTTTCAATGTACTCTTAAGTTGGCGTATGAATACATTTTCATTCTAAAGTTGAGGTTGCCTCACTTGCATTTCTTCACTTCTCGGTGTTCTATCCCGTAGGCCAACATGTTGTTTTTCAAATATGACCTTTTTACCGTCTCTAACCTGAAATTACTCCGCGGAGTATCGGACTATATATCTTATTTGTTCGCAAAGTCGAAACCATTTCATGAAATAAAATTAATCTAAAACTATTTTTGCTTAAAACGGTTTAATTTTGTTTTTTCATTCTGAATATAACAACTATATTTAGACGGAGAGTGACGGCGTACATTTCGGTAAGTTCCGTGGTAGACTTGCACAAGTCCCTATTCATCCAAATCTTGCAGGAATGGTTAAACTATACAAAATATATAAGTATAAGGAATGAATCATGTTATTTTGAGATTTATGGGGGTATGAACCTCAATAGGTCTTGGGACAAATTTAATATCCCCCATAAACCTCAACATAACATGATTAAATCCTTAAATATACCCGATGTGATCCTTGCCAAGTCGATTAACATACAAGGTTAGCGATGTTAAAAAAACGCATAGTACGTTAATTATCATGTCCAAATTTGAACTTTACCCGGAGTCAGCATCTATATGACTAAGTAGACCGGTTCGCTAATCAGGTTACGTAATGGAAGAGGCATTAATTGACACAGGTAATGGGAACAGGATAGACACTATGAACGTTAAGGAAGATTTGATAAGTTAACACGTAACAATTCAGTCCATTAAAGTATCTTATAAAAACAGCGAATATGAAGGAATTGTAACCATTATCTACATACGCAAGAACCCAAATTAAAAGTAATTGAAGCACAATTTCATTGTTTTTCATAAAATACTTAATCACTTATTTTCAATGTGATAAGGTTATCAAATTTTGATATGGTAACGCCAAATACGTTGAAAGTGATGGTGCAACATTTGCGTTTGTCAACTGTCTTTTTTACAGAAAATGTCAAAATTATTTTTCTATCGCAGTTTAAGCACGACAAAAATAACCATTTAACTCCCTACCTGGTGCAATAGCAAGTTCTTCCTCGCCAAAATATGAGCATATGAACTTGTCGTAGACACCTTTCTCTTTCGCAGTGTCCAGCATCCCTTGGGACGGATCTAAGGCATCAACTTTGACAAATCCATGTTTGGCCAGCTTAAATACCAGATGATTGAAACATGTATTTATATCCCGGTGACGAAAACAAAACACATGCTGATTGATATCAACGATCTACCTATAATGTAGAGAAGTATTTTGTTACGATGTCAATGGTGTAGCCAGACAAACTGCCATAGTCTCTCGCATCCACCTCAATTTTTTTCTTTTGTTTTTAAATGATCATCAGATGCACATTAAATGCAAAAAAATCTCACACAATGAAATGTCACTTATTAACACCGTACTCCACTTTGTTCTGAACTATTAACCGTATAAAACGTGCTGTAGCGGTGTTTGCATCACTCAGCTATAATTTGATGGCTTCAATCCAGAAAACTTTTTTTAAAAAAATTGATTTTACGTTTCCTTGGTCAAACTATCGACAAACAGGCTAAAAGCAGATAAATGAATGTTTCAGCCTTTGTCGGAAGGTCAAACAGCATAGCGAACCACTCGCCACTTTTCGTTTTCCATAGACTTCAAACTTAATCTCTAATTGTATTTTAGTTGATTAAAATTCAAACATCTGCTTATATAATTTAATCAAAATAACGAAGATTGAAACAATGCAGATATTTGATTTGAAATCTTAATTTACTACAAGTTTTCAATTTTTGGAAATTAAGAGATATGTATACCTTTTAAACTTTGATCATCATTGCAATCAGATAGATAAACAATACCATAATATTATGTTATTTAACAGTGTAAAAAACTTTTGATTTCTTGAAAACGTCGCTAGAATAGAGAACTAAATGGAAAATGCCCTACATTATAAATAATACGGAAAATGTATACTACATGATCTGAAAATAAATGAAAAGAGACTTAATCTTGTCAGGAAACTTGAAATCGCACTAGATTGAAGCGATATTATGTAGAACCAGTATTTTGTATTTCGTTTTGATGTCATTAGACAGATATTCAACTCCGGATGGGATAACCGGTATTTCGTGTTTATTTTGGGGAACATTTGGAAAATTACCGGGTGCAAACTGTTCGAGGATAAATGAGAGGTTCCTTATTGAATAACCGATATTTCGTTTTGAAATTCAAAGTATAATCAAAAGAGGATTGTTTATTTGAATTTTATTCGACCCAGAATAAAGTCAAGCTACCATTTTATATTAAAATTTCGCTTACACCGTTACCAATTCACAATACTTTCACTTATAAAACTGCAGTAGATTTATAATGCTTATTAATATGCATTAGCATGGGTATCTCAAAAATCCAAATGTAGGATAAAAAATATGATACCTCTTGACCAACTAAGCCTGTTCCTGCTGCAACATCTAGCACGTGAACATTTTCCCTAGTACTGGGGTATAATTTCGCCACCTCATTGGCCGCCATAGCTGGTCCATTGTATCCATCAGAGAGCATGTCCTTGGGGAAAAAAATACAAATTTCTCTGTAAATATCAACGTTACATTGAGGAGATTTTAATGGATGCTCTCTCATTTCGACTGGTCACGTGATTGTTCTTCGTTTGGAACTCTTCAGCGTTTTGAAATAAGTCTTAACCCAGACATCAAATAAGAGCACAATTATTAGGTTGGACAAGCATTTTAAACATGAGACGAATAATACAAATAATGATAAAAAAGCTGGTTATCCATTCCACTGTACAGACAGTCGCTAGAAAAATTGATGAGTGGTGATTTGTTATTTTTTCGATAAAATGTCAGGGGTTTACAAGTCAATAATATATTAAAGGCACACAGTTGTTAGACTTTTCGTTCTTTTTCATATTTTAGACTATTGTGATATGTTTTTACGGATATGAGATGAAAACCCACCAATGTATTACTTGTACGGAGGAAATATAGTTTGATTATCTTTGTGACATATTTATATCGCATATTGCTCCGGTCGAAAATCTTTTGTCATTGATATTGAAATTGTTTTTGAAAGTATTACACAGACCGCCGCCCTAAAATATTAATTTTTTTATGCTACCGTTCGAAATTTGAACATTATTATGTACTCAACCGTCCAAACAATCAAATTCTTAATTTCCATTACAAGCAAAAATATTGAATTTGTTTTAAACGATACCGTCCCTATTATCAAATTGTTATGTACGCTACCGTTTACAATACGCAACCGTCTTAAATATTAAATTATTAGGTAATGTATCATCCAAAATTAATATCTGTTCTTGTACACATTCCCGTACAGAAATACGACTTTGATATACTCTACCGTTCAAACTATTGGTTTCCTTGGTAACGACCTCAACAAACTTTCAGTTGTTAGTTTTTTTTTCGAACGCTAACTACGCGCAGCCAAACTTGATATTTTCTAAAATACAAACATACGTAGTGACAAAATGGTTGTGAATAAGTACCTGGTCATACTCCTCACTCCAGGAATCGTAGAACTTCGTCTTTCCTTCCCGAGTCTCGGTTTTGGCATAAGCTTGTAGTATCCTTTCGTGTTTATCCATCCTATTACTGTATTGGATAGCAACCTGAAACAAGCAAAGATGTACAAACATTTTTGAGAAAAAATAAAAATGTTTCACCATGACGAAGTAATAAGATCATGCCATGATCTTATTACTTCGTCATGATGAATCATTAAACGATTTAGAAAACATTTCCTTTAAAATCTTTCTTCACAAATAAACACTCACCCTTTGCCTACTGACGAGTACGCCTATTGATCAACCCATCTAACGTATAACAAATGCATTCGGTAGTTCTGAGTGACCCACGGTGGTGGGTCAGGATAGTATAAACTTGCAGGAAGCCATGTGTATATGAGAGGACCGAGACGAAGCTCCGCTGAGCCTTTTTATTGTTAGTACAACATAAAAATGTGAGCTACAAGAAAATCGACAAGGTCATGCATAACACATATCTGAGAATAGGGTAACCTAAAACTGTACACCTTCAAGATCCTTCCCCTTGTTAACTCATTAACTCAAACATATCAACAGAATCCTAATCCAAACTTAAGGGCCTGTCACACCTACACGTCCTTGCATGGCGTTCATGCGACGTTCTTGAAGTTCTCAAAAATTGACGAGGACGTGGCAAGAACGTGGGATTTTTTGCGGAAATTGGGGTGTCGGTAATCTATCAGGCGTCTTTGCCAAGTTCTATCCAGTCCCTAGGACGTTCACAAGTAGTCCAACCCGTCATTACCACGTTCTCTATGAGTTCTTGTGAAGTCAAACTACAAGCCGTACGGCGTCTTCGGCGTTCATACGGCGTTTTCACCGACTACACCCCGAACACCACACACACAAGAGACACCACAGTCTGATGCTGAATCCACTGCTGGTTCCAATGATTCACCGACAAATTCTCGTGACACCACAGTTTCGTCCCCAGTCTACGAAGAAAGTGAAAGTGATCTGCAACCTCACCGAAGAACAAGAGGAAAGCATGATAGAGTGGATATCAGAACATCTACAATTCTACAATAAGAACATGAGCCAATACAATACACTAAATCTAAAACCGCCCTCTGGGAGGCTAAGGCTCGGGAACATGAGCTGGACTGTAAGTACTATAGATAACTTTTTGCATTAATTATGCTTGTTATATAGAGTGGCATTTAATGCGTTTATGTGCATGTACATATGTTTTTAATATTGTTTGTTTGATATTTTCAGATGTCTTTATACAAACCTGGTATAAATCTCTGAAGACCAGATATGGGGAACTGAAATTGAGGAAATCGGAGGATGGGGCTACTCAGCTGACTGATCGCGAGAAGTGGGTGCTGCAGAATTTTTCCTCTTTGGAGGGGCATATCCATAGAGTAAAGACAAGGTCCCTTGTCAGTGTAAACATATTATTACATTTTATCTGTTGTTGTATTTTAAGAACTCCATGTACATTTCATGCAGATTTCAACATAACGCACTTGTAGTGTTTTCTGTATTACTCATGTTTCTCTTCACTTTTATCGTTACAGAACAAGGCAAAGATAGCAGATGATGTTGGCGAGTCTGCAGATGATGCTGTTTAATTATTCAGTGATGATGAGGGATCTGCCACTGGTACTGCTGAGACGTCTGACACCGCACTGAAATGTCAAGCACAGACACGTATTCTCGTCCATCCAAAGGCAAGGCTAAACTGAAGTCAAGAAGTTATGTTGATGACGAAGATGATCTGGTCCGTAGAATGAGTGAGAGGGTCGAGTCTTCCCGCGAACTTCAGGATAAGGTATTGGCCATGTCGAAGGTGACAGAGAGGACGACATTTGCTGACTTTCTGAAAACTGGTATGGAGAGCATCCATCCAACTCTCTGGAGGGGCTTCCAGCGTGAATGTTCCAGTTTACTGTGGCGTTACCAGGACCAGAGTGAACAGATCAACAACTCCAATTGCCAACCTCAACCAGCAAACAGCATCCAGCAGTCCTCCCAGATGCAACCTCTGTCTTCCCAGTGTCCACAGTTTTCCCAAATGTGGCAGCCTCATCCTACTCAATGGCCTTTTGATCCAATACCAGAGAGTGTGTGGCAGTCCCAGTCTAAAGAGTGGATGCAGACTCAGACCACAAGTCAGAAATTCACCAATTCACATCACCAACATTTGTCCAGATACATGCACGTTCGCTCAGTACTTACTACGCTGCCTGCGCGTTGTCAGTACGTCATGAACGTTTGAGGTACGTTCGTTCGAAGTTCACAACTAGTCCCTACTCCGTTCTGGTCAGAGGGCGTTCGAACCACGACTGTTTTGAACAGTTCAAAACGGTCGCCGCGGCTTAGCGTTCGAGGAAGTTCCTTTGCGTCCCCTTCAAGTTCCGAACAAGTACCAACAAGTCCCCAAGCCGTTCTCTACGTTCCCACCACGTTTTATCATTTTTTCTCGGTCGTAGTATGAACGCCATGCAAGGACGTGTAGGTGTGACAGGCCCTTTAAATACAATAAAACTTGGGCAATACAAGAAAGATTTGCAGAGTCCAGAAAATATACATCGACGACACTCGCATTGTAAATATTCTTTCTTTCGTAATAAACCGAGCGTGAACATGTTTATAAACAATAGTCAAGATAAACAATGTTCCGACGTTGAAAATATGTACAAAAACAACAAATGACGGTATAGGTGCGTGTATCGCTTAATTATAGATATATTTTATTATGCATAAGCCGAATTCTTCATTTCCCGGTGTTGAAATCGAAGGTAATAGCGGCTTTAAGTTAACAGAATACTGAACATATTGACCACATACAAGTTATAGGTAGATTTCACAGAGTGTGCACATGAACAAATAAGACCTGAAGGAAACCGCTTTTAAACGTCTCCATCGACCTTTTATGGAACAAACTGGTAAAGTCTGATATAATTTAACTCAACCACTGTTCTTGTTATTATCTATAATGGATATTGGTATTTTATGTGAGAGTGTGTTTGTGTTTACAGGGTGTTTGTTTTTTATTTTTTAACTTAAGTGACATTTGTTAACATGGTTGAGAGAAAATGTTACAGAAATTTAAAATAAATATGACGGTATTAAAATGCGTGTGCCTTTCATGTAGATATTTCATGTTTGTTTATCTATAGCTTTGAACATTAAAGTATTCCAGTAAAATTTATCTTTTGAACATCAAGTCATTTAAAAGTGAAATTAACATAACGACAGCTGGGAATGTAACCAACTTTTATGATAATCAATAGAAATTCTGTATTTTTCCAAGGTTTTATTCAGTCACTCTGATACACGCGTGTAACAAGAGGTCACATACATATAATTTACATGATACGTGGCGTATGACAGGTACAATTACAACAATTTCTGTAAATAATAGTAATAATTACTAACTATCGCATTCATGTATTAACAATTTGGTACTTAAATTTGAACACTTAAATCAACAATTTATCAAGTTTTTCTATAAATCTACAAATACTTGTAAATGTAAATGCATTTTGACATGACTTTGGTAAGTAAAGTAATATGTTGGTATATATTTTTCTCTTAGACGTTTTACTGATTCGTTTTCGCATTTAAATAAATAGTGATATTCGTCTCCGATGTCGGAGTTACATAATATGCAGAATCTTTCTTGACGAGGGATACCTGTCCATCTTCCTGTTTCTACCGGTAAACGCATATTTGAAGAACGAAATTTACACATAATTTTCCTATGAATGGTATTAAGCTTGGTTAAGTATTTTTCTTGTTCAAACTTTGTCTTAAAAATGGAATATGTTTGTACCCTAGAGGAGTTTAAAATGTCATCAAACCATTTCTGTATCAATTGATTCTTAAGGCTATTTTTCACCAAATTCTTAATTTCATCTTTTGAAAAAGAACATGTAGATTGATAATACCAAACGTAATTCAGACCCATTTGGAAAAAGGATATCCTTGACTTATAAATATTACTTGATAACTTATTAGATGTAATCAACTTATGCCAAAATAATATACTATTCTACATTTTATTTCAATATCTAATGGGTATCTACCCAGCTCTCCATAAACAATGAAATTAGCTGTGCCTTTCTTACATTAAGTATACTTTTACAAAAGTGCATATGGATTTTCTCTATAATATTGGTATTTTCAAAACCCCATATTTCTGTTGAACACAGGAGAACTGGCATGATAACTGAATCGAATATTTTCAATTGCAAATCAACTGGTAATGAAATATTTCTTAATTTTTTTTATAGAAATTAAAAAGTGATTTCTGTGCCTGTTCAACAAATTTTTACCTTGCTTTAAAAAAACTACCATTAAAATTAAAGAAAATACCAAGGTAGGTATACCCTTCATGTATTTCCAGTTCTACGTTACATAAAGTAAAATGGAGGGTTCTTGTGCGTTTCCTTTTCGAGAAGATAACAATTTTAGTTTTTTGGGGTTAATAGTTAACTTCCAAGTATTACAATATTGTTCAAATTCATTTAAAGCTAACTGTAAACCATCTGGTGATTCTGATAACAGGACGGTATCGTCTGCATATAAGATAATGAAGAGTTTGAGATATAATCCAATATTGTCAATACAAAGTTTGTCAACTGTTTCCAGACAATGTACATTTCTCTCAGCAAGATTAGATTCTAGATCATTAAAATAAATTGGAAACAAAATGGTGATAAATTTTCCCCCTGTTTTACCCTGATTTCACAGTTGAACCAATTCGACTGTTCACATCCATTTTTAACACATGATTTGGTACTATCATATAATTTTAAAATTACATTAAAATTTTTTTCAGTAATGTTGCTTTTTTGAAGCTTTTTCCACAGACCGATTCTCCACATGGAATCGAATGCCTTCTGATTATACCAATCGTCCTCGCATCCAGTATAGATGCAGTATTCAAGATAAGATTAAACACTTTTTGATAGATAGGTAAAAATACATCCATGGTACTTTTAAGATATTCATTTATAATTTGGTCTTTACCAGGGGATTTATTGTTTTTTAAACTAATTAAAGATAACTTGATTTCTTCGGTTGTAATT